ACCCATTTACGTTGTGACGTTTGGTAGTACCCAAAGTGTTCCTCCGGTAAACGGGAGTTGCATAATCTCATAGTCATAGGAACATGTATAAGTCATGAAGAAAGCAATAGCAACATACTAAACGATCAGGTGCTAAGCTAATGGAATGGGTCATGTCAATCAGATCATTCTACTAATGATGTGACCTCGTTAATCAAATAACAACTCATTGTTCATGGTCAGGAAACATAACCATCTTTGATTAACGAGCTAGTCAAGTAGAGGCATACTAGTGACACTCTGTTTGTCTATGTATTCACACATGTATTATGTTTCCGGTTAATACAATTCTAGCATGAATAATAAACATTTATCATGATATAAGGAAATAAATAATAACTTTATTATTGCCTCTAGGGCATATTTCCTTCAAACTACTCCCCCCTCATCATGGTGGCTGCCTGGATGATGAAGATGGCCTCCGGTGATGATTTCCCCCTCCGACAGGGTGCCGGAGAAGGCCTCCTGATGAGATCGCTTAGGTATAGAGGCTTGCGGCGGTGGAGCGGAAGTTCTAGGTTAAGTTTCGGGGTTTTCTCTATTTATATAATTTTTCAGCGTTGGTTTCACTTAGGGGGCTCCCTAGGGTCCCACATGCTCGGGGGCGCGCCCTGGGGGGTGCCCCTAGGCTTGTGGCTCCCTCGGCCACTTCCTGGCCCATCTCCGGTGCTCTGTGGGTCACTTTTGGTCCATAAAAAATCACCGTAAATTTCCAGCTCATTTTGAGAACTTTTATTTCTACACAAAAAACAACACCTTGGTAGTTCTAAAAACTGCGTCAGCCCAGGTCAGTTACATTCAAATCATACCAAAATCATATAAATTGTTATAAACATGGCATGAGTGCTTCCATAAATTATAGATACATTCGAGACGTATCAAGCACCGCTTAGTTGATGTAAATATAATGAATTCCATCATGTTTATATGAAAAATCCGGCCGTGTTTGTTGTTGAAATGTAAGCATGCAGTGTTGGATTCTGGCCTTCCGCATCTGTGTTCGCGGACTGCCCCCCTGTTCGCGGACGGAAGCGGGACGAAATTTGCTAGTCGTAGTTGGAGATGCCCTTAGTACTCAGTAGGTTTTAGAAAAAAAAGGGTTTTTATCATTTATGTCACTTGTTGTGTCTCACTACTCAGTTTTGCCATTAGAAGTTACAACTACTCAAAAATGCTATCGCTCCATGAGATGCTTGCTAAATACTGCCATTATGATGCGGGACGCCTCGGAAACGATCTTTCACGGTGCCAAAGAACTCACAAGGAGCAGCAACAAACTCACTCGATACTTGTTTCAACAAACTTTGTCTCTCTCAAGTGGCAAGAACAAGAGGAAACACTCTCAGATAAATTGCAGCGGATAACTAGCTGGGTTTACAAGGATGCAACCCAAACCATGAAGCTTGTGAACCTATAAAGAATCACAAGAGGGAACCACAAGGATCCTATATGATTTGAGGACAGGCCCTCCAATCCACACACACGAGCTAACACTCAACGATACTAGTGCTCACAACACAACACAACCTCACCGGTTGTCTACAAACATAAACTCAGAAATCCCATCCCCCTTCACATGGAACAACTGGGGAGTATTTATACTAGAAGCACCCACTAGATAGGTGTGAAAACAACTCAAAAAGAAGGGTAAATTCGTGAGCCCCAAGCTGTAGCAGGAGCAAACTTGTTGAGCCTCGCGCTGTAATAAATTCCTGGACAACTTGCATGAAAACTTGCACAACTTTTGACTCAAGACCTCAAATGATGCACCGTTTTTTGAATGAAAGCTGACTTCTAAGACCATCTTTTCCAGCCTCTATAAGGTGCTAGAGACTTCCAGAATTAATTAGGTTTAGGTGGGAAGTTACAGCTGGAAATCTGATGTGTCATTTTTTCCAAAATAGGCACCGAAAGCTTCCCAACTAAGATAGTGGTTTTGCCATTGTCTTCCTTTGGATGCTCTAATGGTTCAGCATTTGTGCTAGCATTAACCTCACTCTTGGATGCCTTGGTCATGATCTGGTCCACATCACATTAGATATCTAAAAAATGCCATCGTTACGTTAGATATTTGCTAAAAAGTGCCATTAGACATAGTCATTGTCAGGTCAAACCCGTTGACCATGTTATATGACAAAAAAACCCTGGACCCACATGTTAGCTCTCTATATCTCATAATGATAAGTGTGGGCCCCCACTTGTGAGGAGTAAGCAAGCGAATAATTTTAGAGGAAAATAAGGACGGTGTTGGGATCAAGTGGGACCCATACTTTATTGTAGGGAGATAGGGGGAGAGTTGACATGCTGGTCCATAGTTATTTTGGCCATTATGGCATGGCAAACGAGATTTGAACTAACAATACTACTATACACTAAGCTCCCTAGTTTCTAAGGCCTCATAATCAATTAAGGTCTTCAATTGGAATTAGGTCACCCGATTTTGACTGGGTCAACCATATCTCAAGGAGATTTTATTAAATTCTTTTAGTTCACTATGCTCCCACACTATTCTCCCTAATTTTTAAGGGTAGTACTAGGTGTCCGCGTGCTGGCCCAAAATTTCGGCCGGTCGCTGCGCCGCAGTCCGATTCCGCATCATAGGCTGCTCAATCCACTAGGTAGGACGTTGCATGCATCTTCTTCATCTCTGAAAAGATCTCCTTCCATCCCCGTCGGCCACAGCAGAGCAGCGACGCGCGTCTCCGACGAGATGCACGCGGCTCGAGCACCATTGTCGTCTTCCAGCATGGGGCACGCCGTTACAGTGTGCGCTTCACCCCCGTTTCCAGCGTAGACGCTCGCCGCCCCCGACATGGGTCTCCCGCATGCCTCGCCCCGCCACCTCGCCGTCGAGGCTTGCTGTTGTCACCATCGTCCCATGATCCATCGTTGGCGATTTGTGGTCACTGTGGTTCCAACATATACCAGACACAGTTCCAACATTCTAGCGGAACAGTTGTAGCGTCCATCACGCTGTCAACGTGGTCATCATCGTAGCAAAAATCCTGCAGGTTGTAGCACTTTGGGTCACTGGTGGTAGCATATTTTGATGTCGGTTGTAGCACCACCAAAATCGCTGCATCACTAGCACCTCACCTCATGCCGTTGTAGCACCACGGCATGCCGGCCGTAGCATCATGAATCACCGGTTGTAGCGCGTCACCGGTCGACATGACCACGCCTTTGCCCCCAATGTAGCACTTGGTTTGTCGGTTCCAGCACACCGTGAAGGCGGTTCCAGCATCTCTGGTGGCGGATGCAACACCGCGCCAGGCGGGTTCCAGCATCGCTGCTAGTTGTCGGTTCCAGCAAGAAATGCTGGTGGTTGCAACACCTGATCGGCTTTGAAGCTTGTAGCATGGCAGGGAGGCTTCTCGCGCACGAGCACGTCATCGTCGGTGAGAGCTTGTTGATGGTTCCGCCACCAC